AATGAATGTACAAATGTGCTTTACATGATTGATTATGGATTGTGATAAGAGTTGTATGAGCCCCTAATAAAATGATTTTTTAAAATTAAATAAAAATAAATAAATGCCCAAAGGGCATGCCGCTCCACTGGAAGCCTCCACCCAAAGGTGTTTCTGCTCAAGCTCTGTGGGTCATCGAACCACCCAGCTTCCCCAATTCAGCACCCAGAGGCACCCCACTCCAGTGAGCCTCAACCCGAAGGCACTCAGCTCCCCGTCCCTGGGTCAGCAAGCCCAGCTCCCCGAGTTAAGTGCCCAGAGACACCCCACTTCAGTAAGCCAAACTTGTGGTTCGCAGCCCAGCGACACCAGGAAAGGATGGGCGGGTGGTATTCTAGGGTGATGTCCCATGGGGCCAGCGGAGGCAGGCACGCCCCAGGTCCAGCTTCAGGGAGGGAAACTGGGGAAGGCCAAGAGGCTGGCTGTCGGGCAGCTGAGGAAGCACCAAGAGGTCTGATTTCTGGAAGCGACCAGCTCTGGCTTGTTGGCAGGTGGTGACCCTCCTGCTTTACACCTCCCCCCCCCACCACCGCTCGATGGGGCATGGGAGGATGCCCCATCCCCTCCTCTTCACGTGCGCGGACATGCTCCGATTAGGGACCTCTGGGGAAGGAAGGAAAATGTAAACACATGGCCGACAGTGACGAGAGCTCAGTAATTCCACCCCGTTGCACAGGAGGAAGGGGGTGAGGGGGGGGACATAAAGTTGCAAGACACACTAACTATGGCCGTGGGCTTTAGAGAAAGAAGGCGGTATTGGGCTGAGGTGGAAACAGCATGTTGAACTTTCATTTCACTCCAGAATGAAATTCTGGTTCGGGTTCACTGTTCAGCCAACAGTGAATGTCCACAGTGAATGTCTGACATCCTGCCAGACACCGGGGAGAGGGGAGGAGGAGGGCCTGCCCGCCCCAGGCCGAGGGGGGTGAGCGGCCAGCTCAGGGGTGAGCACTACCTCGTTGGAAGCACCCCACAGGCACCAACGCTTTAGACCCTCACGGCCTCTGTGGGCACGTGGTGACTCCCACCTGAAGGTGAGAAACGGGCTGGAACAGCCTTCCTGTTAGGGCCGGAAGCTAACAAAAGGCAGCCCGGGATTTGAACCCTCGACAGCCAGCTTGTAGAGCCTGTTGTTGCTGTGTCGACTGCACTCACCTCGACCCGGAAGGACAGAGCAGAACTGCCCCTGTAGGACGCTTTTAACAGTGTTATTGGCACTTCATCCGAATATCAGACAGCTCAATAGTTTGATCATACCAAGTAGCGTTGTGCCATCCTCACCACCATCAATTTTAGAACGCTTTCTTCTTCCTGTGCTCCTTGGTATTCATGCCATGGTTTGGGGGGAGGCAGTTGGCAAAATAGACACCACAAAGCATTCTCTCTCGACAGGAGGACAGCATGCTTGGTCCAAAGAGGCAGGCCCTCCAGGAGATGGATTGACAGCAGGGCTGTCACAAATGTAGCGACGATTGTGAGGACAGGGCAAGGCAGGCAGTGTCTCCGCCCATTGTACAACTGAGCAAGAGCCCCAGTCTTTGCCGAGGCAGGCGGTGGGGTCTTTTCTCATGTGCAGTGGCTGGTGGGTTTGAATGGCTGCCCTTTGGGTTCACAGCCAAGTGCTTAACTACAGCATCCCCAGGGCACCTTCTTAAAAAAGCTGCACTTCCTTAGCCTCTGGCTTGGAGACGTTCCCTCTGGAGTGAAACGGCATGTAGGAAGCATGAACTCACTGACTTAAGAAGTAAGTACGTTGATCACTGCCGGGCTAATGTGAGAAGGTGGTTTCACACGGTGCGTGGTCTTCTGCCTACCCCCACAGCCCCCTCTTCCTCTCTCCTATCTGCCCTTGGCTCCCTCGGCCATCGCCTCCCACGGCCTCTGGAGTGCCAAACTGTGCTCCTCTGCACGTACCGAGCACCTTCCTTCCCCTTCGCGATGGAGCCAGCTGACACACCAAAGTTCAGCAAACACCTTCGACGCCAAGCATTTATCCAAACGCTTTCTCAGCCAAGATAGTTCTTTCCTTACGGGAGAGTCTGGTGCCAGCCGTTAATTTCTGCACCTTTTTTCCCTCTCTATGCCAGGTCTGTCGCTCCCTGCCTCTGTGCCAGCTCTGTGCCCTGGTGGATGCATGGACCCAGGATGGTTTATATATGAAAGGAGTTGGGTTTCAATCTCCTCCTCCTCTTCCTCTGTAGCTATGGGACCCAGCCTCAGACAGAGACTCCGTTTTTCCCATCAATAACTCAGGATAGCAAACCACACGCTTCAACAGATTGGAAAGATG